AGAGCAACCGATTGGGCCTTCAATTTAGTTCGGGCCTCGACCAAGCCCATTTTGTCCTAGAGGAAAGGGGAAAGTGTCCTACATTGTTGCGCACGAATGAATGCCACGTGGCATGACATTGTCTCAATAACCAATGAGAAGCTCAGCTTAAAACACGTAGGTTCATTAATCTTGATAAAGTGAGAGAGAGAAACCCTCGATTAGTTAATGGCAGCTAATTGCAGTGTATCGGTTTCTTTTAACAAAAAAACTAAAATACCATCTGATGGGTTTAAGCGATTCTTAACACACTGAAGAGTGAATGAAACCTAAATCGGCTAATTGATGCCTCACGATATGAATAGTTGTATGTTTGGAAGGAAAAAAGGAGTGAGGGTATGTAAAAGTTCTCATTTAAGAATTTTTCTTTTCTTTTTTAAAAACTTCTCTTTGTATTTTATTTATACTACGCACGCAGTTTTTGATTCTAAAATATAAAATGAATTTTTTTAACATATTTAAACTGTTATATGTCAATTTATTATTTTCTTAGTTGTATCTTTTCTTGTATTGTTATTGCATTTGGAATTAGATTAAATTCAGAATTTTTTTCAACATGTTTTAATACGCATTGAATTTTGTTATAAAATATTAGAACAAATACATCAACGGATAGACTTGGAGCCAGGGCCTGCTTAGGTAGGAAGACACGTTCATTATGCAATTTCGGGCGTAAATGGTGACAGGGGGATTTTGCAGAATTGTGGAATCTTGCAGAATTTTTTGTTATTTTTTGTGGAATCTAGCGGAATTATTGTGAACTTAAATGGCAACTGCTGAATCTCGCGGAATTACGGAATTTTTAAAAATAAACTAATTAATTAAATTTATGAAAATAAACATTAAAATTGTGTGTATAAATTAAATGTATGTGTTTATAAATATATTAAATTTTATAAAATAATAATATTTTATTGAATTATCTCCTAAACCCAACTTATTTCATTATTATTTTTTTCGTTTTTATGTTTGTTTAGCAAATTTTACAAGTATTTTTATTATTAACTACTAAAATTAGTAAAAATTTATAAAATTTATTCATTAATAGTATTAGTAATTTATTAAACAAAGAACATAAAAATTGAACGTGTTGTAAATTTATATAGACGTGTTGAAAATTAATCAAAATTTATACTAGTTTTATGTCTACGAATGAAAGTGTTACAAAATTATATAGACAAACGTAAAACCATTTTTGTGTTTTTGTTTGTTTTTTTTATCAGTTAGCTACTAATGTACTTTAGTTTTCACAATTTTTAACTATAAATC